GGGAAAGAGCCGTAATAGCTAATTTACGATTAATCCAAAGTATTTTTGCTTTCAAGTGACAAATCTCAGAGATTTCAGTGTGTCCACAAACTCCACTTCTCAACACACAGTGCCCAACTGAAGCCTGAACCGAGACAACGATTGGTTCCCAAAACCACCCGTGAGGCTTTCCCGGAGCGCCTTCAGCTCTCAATGATGCAACTGAGTACAGCAGAAACAGGGCCCAAATTCCTTCAAGTATTTGAGTATCGGCTGATTTCGGGTTTTGAATGGCTACACGTGTTTCCTGTTAATGGGAGCCACTCCGGCTTTTAAGCAGGGTTTTCTGGTAACTACTTGAGGACACTTCACCCTCCAGCTTTGCTTCCTACACAACAAATATTAGTGGTGAAAGCAAATTATTGCTAAAACAGAGCAGAAAGGAGGGAAACCACCTCTGCTCTTCACCTCCAGTGGCAGCTGAGAGCGGCTCTCGAAGAGCTGGGGATGCAAAGGCGGTGCCAGGGCCCCGGGTCTGGGACATGAGGACCCCTCCCCTCCATGTCCCATTCACTCGCAGCTGAGCAGCCCCAGTGCAGGGGAACAGGCTCGGAGCTGCCTCTAGAATGGGACAAAAACCGTCGAGAGATGGGGTGGGCGCCACAAACGCAGGAAGAACAGATAAGCACAACACATTCCTTTTATGCAGCAACTCCAGCCATTTTCTTTACCCTCGTGTTGGTTTGTAAGGTAAGAAATGCAAAGGGTGAGGAACTTACTCAGAGCTTCTTTCAGTGCCAAAATGGTTTCCTCGGGGTACACATTTCTGTCCTCCCAGATCTTGAAGATCCTTTCAATAGATTTGGAAACGGAGGGATCCCTGGAAAAGAAGAGCACACTGGGTCGTTTTCCTCTCCAACGCTGTAATTTCTTGTGATTCTGGAATAAATAACAATGGCAGTAATTATGTCTTTAAATCAGAACTTGAAATATTGCAGTGAAGACCCTTCAGAGCAGGACGTTCTCTTTCCAGGTGACACCTCCAGCTCTGCTGCAGGGGGGGAACAAGGCAGCGAGACCACACTTGGAGTTAAGCACACACAGACGTGCCATAACGTACTGGGGTCATTGGCAGGCCTTTTTTGGGTAAAATCAAAAGGTTTCAGAGCGGCAGGAACACCAGTGGGATTTCTCCAAAGCCTTTTTTCATGGGGGAAAAGAAACTGACAAGTGTTACTCTTCCAAAGCAGCTTTTTACAGGGATGCTGTGGGGAAAAAAGGGACTATTCCAGGGTAGGGAAAACAAACCTCAACATTAATTTCTTCATAGAGAAAAGGAAGAAGTGCAGAGAAGGGACTGTGATCAGAGGGGCTGGGCTGCAGCAAGAGGATGAGCTCGAAAGCCAACAGGACGCTGGAGTGCACCAGCAGAGGTCAAGGAGTCGTTGCCCCT